CTCGTTGCCGCACCGTCGCGGCCTCCAACGAGCGCAGCCGGCAGCCAGCCCGACGCATCCTGCATCCCGCAGTCGGAATCTGCTCCCGGCATGTCGCGTTTGATCTCCGTCTGGGGCGAGTTTATAGACGCCTCCGTCTCGGTAAGCCAATTAAAAGTGGCCAGATGTTTGTCTGCGACTGCGGTCCACTCCGAGGAGTGATTGCATCCTTCCAGTCGACGCGTGTTGTCAAGCCGTGCGTCAGAGAGTCCGACAGCGGTGCATCCGGTTTCGCGCTCGTTTGTTCCGTGACCCCGCTCCGTTTTTCATTCAAGACATTCATAAATGGCAGGAAGTTTTCACACTGATATGAACAGAAAGGTAATCAATCCATTGCAGCTCCTAAATTATGCGAATTATTTTATGGCCACAGTTTTATTCGCGGTGCTTATTCATAATAATAAGGCCTGCACGCTACTCCATTCATTGTACTTTTTTTTTCTTTCTATAGGTTGTTTTTTTTTTTTTTTTGCAGCCAGCAGTACCTTTAAGTTATTCTGAGGTCTAATTAAGTCTAGAATGTTTTTTTTTGTTGTTTGTTTTTGTTGTTTTTTTTTGCAGCCAACAGTAATCTTTAAGTTATTCTGAAGTCTAATTAAATCTAGAATGTTTTTTTTTTTTTGTTGGTTTTTTTTGTTGGTTATTTTTTTGCAGCCAACAGTAACCTTAAAAAACAACCAAAAAAAAAACAGCACAACTACAGCGCCGGCAATGGTGAAACAAAGTTATGTTCACACTTCCATGCTGTGACGGTTCGCATTTACGTGGCCAGAGACAAATTTTCTACAAAAAAAAAATAATAAATTGTTGCGCACAACCTGAAATTCATTCCAATACGTATTCATGTCAAACCGCTCCATGGTGCAAAAAAAAAAAAAAAAAAAAAAAAGATTGAGGGTCGCTTGACTGGGCTGAAAGTGCATCGGTGACCACATGGTTTCATCAAATTGGAACTCGACTTTCATCGCGTGAGCGCCGACGACAAATATCTTTGTCGTCGACACCTAACACCCTCACAAACTGCCGAGGGAAACACCAATCCTAAAATCATCTCCTCCTTCCTGTCATCGCTTCTTTCTTCCTCTTGGCACCCCACCCCACCATCCCGCCCACTTTCACCTCCACAAGCCACACCCTCACAAAATCTGCGCAACCGACAATCGCCGACGCTCGTTGAGTCAGATGTCATAATTGCAGAAAAGGAGCGAGACGCACCCTAGTTGCAAATGTGTGAAAAGTGACGGGAGCCGCCCAGAAAATGACTCGGCTTCCATGTTGCAATTGCTGAATGCTGGGAAGATCGTAAAAAAGAGCCTGACGACTGACATGAAATGAGAAAGCATAATTCCACACATTTTCCGATGACGCTAATTACATTTTTTTTTTTTTAGCACATATTAGACTTTGCTCCGATTGCCAAATGCCATTTCCAGGAGAACTTTCTCCGTCTTTACCGTTCGCGCCACTGCGGGGGGTTCTAATGACGTCGATGCGATGCACCGGAAGGATCTGTGAGCGAAAGCGTTGGGACGAGGCAGCCATTTTGCATTCGCGCAAGAGCAAGACGGCAAAAGAAACGGTGCGACTTGGGGAGACGTGTACGGATTTGGGAAAGCGCCAGAACTATTGCGTGTCTTGAGCAGTCTGACGATTTGCATAAAGAGAAAGCGTGTCATGGCGTCAGTGAGTCATTCGGAACGTTTATGCACTTGAGGCCACAGAGTTTGGAATTGCGCAACGCTAAACGATAGCCTAAAGGTGTCTTTTTCTGATGTGGGACTTGACGGTGTGGTCTTAAGCGGCCTAAGCATGCCAAGGGGTGCAGAAAGAAGGAAGACGCAAGGCTTTGATGAGAAAACAAAAAAAAATAATAAAAAATCACAGCAGTAATTGAGTCGAGCTCACGTCACAATCTAATCATGTGTGTCAGAGAGGCCAAAATCTCACACCGTTATTGATCAAGTCATATCAAAATGAACAGCCATTTTCCATCCGGCAATCGGCGCCTCACAACCTTTGACTCACCAAAAAAAAGTGATCATACAATATTAGGGCGAGAGAGAAACAAGGTCCGTTTTCTTTTCGCAGGCATTTTTTTTCTCTCTCTCTCTCTCTCTCTCTCTCTCTCTCTCTCTCTCTCTCTCTCTCTCTCTCTCTCTGTCTCTCTCTCTCTCTCTCTCTCGCAATATTTAACTCATTCAATGCCGAGGACGTTTTTTTTCTTTTTTTTCAAGAATGCAGACATTCAATCCCAGGTATAGTCAAACCTCGGTTTTCGAACGTCTCTGTTCTCAACCAAAAATTTCGAGTTTTTTTATGCCTCGGATTATGACCGAAAATCGGGTTCTCGACCAAACTGAGCGCACTTGAATGCGCCACTTGACTCCTCTCGCCTTCCTTACACGAGGAAGTGACGCTTGCTCGGGTGGCGTTCCATTGTGAGCAGTCGTGTTCAAGAAAGATTTTTTTTTTTTAAAAAGAGCGTGGTTTCGGTTTTCGAACAAATCGGTTTCCGAACAGCTTTCTGGAACTGATTATGGTCGAAAACCGAGGTATGACTGTACTTCTTTATGTATTTAAAAAAAAAAATTCACGTGGTAGGCGAAAGAAGCCACTGAAAGTTGGCTGGCACTGAATGAGCGAAGCGGTTGGAAAGCCCATTTTTCCTGATATGCAAAACAGCGTCACACCTTCATTAAGACACTTAACTTGATTTGAGGTGTTTTGACTTGAACAAAACGTTCCCGGCGAGCCTTTGTGGGGGCGGATGAGCGCTTTGGCTTGACATCCTGACAGAACGCTTGCGGAGCAAGCGCAGGCAGCGTCCTGATTTCGTGCTACCTGTTTTACGTCTGATGCTTTTCAACTTTGTGCCAAGGGATCACTTCACATCTCAGGAGAGATGAAAAGAAAAAAAAAAAAATGCCGCAAAGGATGAAGTCCCGTGCGATTTGCATACAGAGCGCTGGTGTCTGATGAACGGATCGCTTCTGCCCTCAACTGAACTCACATGTCTGAGGAGAATGTTGTCATCTTCTCGTTTCTGCACACCGGCCCAAGTTCTAATCTGGTCTTGTTTGCTTTAACCCCTCCCCATCCCCCCAACAACAACAACAACGCTTGAGCTTTTCTTTTTTTTTTCTTCCTCCCCACCCGTTGTGTTACAACCATAATGCCGCTGCGAGCGCACCATCAAACGGTAGCAACGTGGAGGCAATTACGACCGCGACAGTAGGTCAGTCGGGCTTCTTTCAAGTGGAAGCGGGCTGGAGACTTTTTTTTTTTTTTTTTTTTTTTTTATGATTACAGACTTTGCCATGTGTTTAAGTGTTTGTGATTCTGGGGTTGAATCTGCCCCTGAAAAACTCCAGTTACACACTGCGACTGGAAACCTGCTGCCAGGACTGCTAAAGCCATTACACTGGTGTTTACAAAAAAAAAAAAAAAAAGGCTTCCAGACGCACGTATGTGCCGATCACAATTTCTGAGATGTTTATTCAAAAGGCCCGTCTGTGTGCGTTACTTTCTGTGAGCATGACACAATTTATGGACGTTTTCCATTCTGTTGGTTTATTGGCTTGAAGCATTGTCTCTGATGCTTCATATTTCTGACCAGTTTGATGAGTGATCGCAGCACAAAATATACCCCAAGGCCATGTTTACCGTGAAGAAGCATCCAGTTTAAAAAAAAAAAAAGTTTTCTTTTTTTTTTTTTCTGCCGGTTTTGAAAAGTTGCTCGCCATGGTGAAGTCATTGCCAGCACTATTTACAGTGAACTACAACAATACCCGCTTTTACCAACGGAATATTGTATTGCTCTCTACTGTCACCAGAAAAAATTTAAAAAAAAAAAAAAACTTAGTCTCTGCCTTTGTCAGTTCTTCAGTAATCAGCAGAACACCGGTTTCTGACCCAAAAGCGGAGAACACGTGTCAAGCAGAACGATATTTACAGTAGAGAGCAATATTCCCTTTGAGCAATGGCGCACTTCTCTCAGCGCACCACGGTGACAGCTGGCGCGCACCACGCACGCACCATTTCGACACCCCATTCCTTCATTTCCACGCCACTTTAATCTCCAAACAGGACGCCAGAATCTTCCCACTGCCGTTACAGTTTCACTCGTGCGGCCGAGGGGGCGCGCTCAGTTATTCTACGATAGTTTGATGCAGACATTGACAACACATTCACTCACGCTCGCCACAGACGAGAGGCGACGTGGGAACCGTTCCATTCAGGAAGTCCAAATATGGACATGGTTTATGAGCCCCCTTGCATGAGGCTCTTTTGGAATTTTTCTGTCTAATTAAATGACATGTTTTCCGTTATTTTTGAGTGGACAATGTGTGAGCACAGTTTCACAGGCTGGCTTCATTAATTATGCTTAAAAATAACCTGTGGTAGAAAGAGAGAGAGAGAGAGAGAGAGAGAGAGAGAGAGCGAGAGAGAGAGAGAGAGAGAGAGCCTTCACCATTTAAACAGGAGCGACAACATAATGTGACTTTTTATGCATGCTTTTATAAGTTTGTGTGGTAGTCCTACAGAGCTTAAGATATTTCAGATATCATCACCGCCTTCTCTACAGGTGGTATCATTGCTTCTCCTTCTTGGACTGAGGCTAGTTTTGACACTGATGTGACACAACATTATTGACTTTGGCGCTTTGGCTCAGGAGAGTTTTTTCCTTTGCTTTAGTTTTTTTAGATTTCCATTTCAAACAGGCGAATCAAATTCATACCAGGATCTCATTCAACCTTTCACCCAGCATTCAATTACTCATCATGATGAGGATATATGCAAGCTCGGGCAACTTTTTTTTCCCCCCTCATATAGTGTACACTCGTATCTGACTTTCGGATCTTCCACTTTGACTCCACGTTACTTTAACCTTGGTAAAAGTGTTTTGTCAAATGAATGGCTGGAAGGATTTCAAGCTTGAACCCCTCTGTTGTGTTCTCCAGGTGGTGCTGGATCACATGAGAAGGAAATGCAAGTGTCACGGGACATCTGGAAGCTGCCAGCTGAAAACCTGCTGGCAGGTCACTCCCGAGTTCCGGGTGGTGGGCTCCATCCTAAAAGAGCGCTTCCACATCGCCACTCTCATCAAAGCCGACAACCGCAACACCGGCCAGCTGGATCACTCGCACCACAACAACAACAACAACCACAACCATCACAACAACCACTACCATCACCACCACCACCACCACCACCATCACCACCACCGCGCGCACCGCAGGAGGCCCGGCATCAACGACCTGGTCTACTTTGAAAAATCGCCCGATTTCTGCGAGAGGGACCTGAGCTCGGACTCGGCGGGAACGCAGGGTCGCATCTGCAACAAGACCAGCCCGGGCATGGACAACTGCGAAAGTCTGTGCTGCGGCCGAGGCCACAACATCCTGCAGCAGACGCGCAACGAGCGCTGCAACTGCAAGTTTCACTGGTGCTGCTACGTGGTGTGCGAAGAGTGCCGGATAACAGAGTGGGTCAGCGTGTGCAAATGAAGACGCGACGGGGGCGGGGGCGAAACAATGAAAGAGAGATAAAAATAAAAAAAAAACAACTTTCAAAGACGCTGATCGGAAACGAGAAAGGGGCCGAGACTGTCGTGTATGCACCCCACTCCCTCTCACCGCCGGCTCCACCGAGGAGCAGAAATGTGTGAAGAGTGCCAAGCGCTTCCGTCGGCAGAACAAATCGATTTCCATGTCGGAATTGAGTGTGTCCATGCACTGTATGCCTGACGCTGTCACGACTGTGCGAGCGTACGTGTGTTTGCATTACTTACGATACAATCAGGTATCTGAAAGCAATAAAAGCAACAACAACAAAAAATGACACACACACCAAAAAAAAAAAAAAAAAGAAAATTGCACCGCACGAGAGATAAAATCGTAGGATTGTTCTATGAAATGTATGCTTCACAGGCAGTATTGACAACATTGACACAATGTTACATAATAGTTCTGCTATTGGCATCATGCACATGCAGGAGCAAACAGACGGGAAGGTGTTGGCGCACGCCCGGAGCACAAAGATGCCGGGTCCCGTTTAAGGGCACTTCAATCATCAGTGTCACGTTTTTGTGTGTTTATGGATTAGACTTGGATTTTGGTCATTCTAGGAACACGTAACACAATGTTATGCATCTCACCTAAAGCAAAAAAGATGACTGCCAAGCAAAAGAGACCAAAGCAGACTGGATGACTTGTCCAACAGGACCGGAAAGAGGAGTTTTAATCATATGAGATTAGCCAGGCTGACAGACTGCAATTTAAAGTCGCTGTCAAGTGACAAGAAATTTAACTTGAGCAACCATGACAAATTTGAAAGATAAAAAATAAAAATAACACCAAGTATGTAAAATGAGGCTTCACATGTTTGAAAAACGAGCCCTGCGCTCCGCTCTCAAGCGCGTGTCCGCTGAACGTGCTGAAATGTCAATCAAATGTCTCGCATGTTTCTTATGATCTTCTACATGTTTCCGATATCTGCTTGAAGTCTACAGTGACTGGAATATGTCCCACCTGGTCATCACGAGGCTTTTCCACACCGCAACAACGGGGCACTCTAAAGCAGCCACGCCAGCCCAAAGCCCTGGTCCACATCACATGGCTCTCCAGTCTTACTCCCCCCACCCACCACTTCCTAGTCCACGCCTCCCTGTCCACACACTGTCTGTCAAGTCAGACCCCCACCCACCCACCCATTCCCTTCCCGGCACTCCCAACATTCTCATCATGATGTGCACGCACTTGTGGCAGACGAGGCGCTCTAAAGCAGCCATGCCAACCCAAAGCCCCTGTCCAAACGTGCGCACACTCACACGTGACAATGAGGCACTCCAAAGCAGCCACGCCAGCCCGAAGCCACTGTTGGGGGGAGAGGGGGGTGACATGCTCACGGCCAATAATGAGTGGACGATCCAAAAGGAAGCGTAGGCATAGCTAGCTTGTTAACCGCATGTCGAATTTGTGTCGGGGAACCGCCCACGTCAACGAAGATACTCAAATGTTCATGTCGTGGAGGAGTGTCAACTTGACAATGTTGGAGTCCAAAGTGTGTCACGAGGTGCTGTTTTAAGAAGAAGAAAAAAAAAACAAAAACTAAAATGGCGGAAAACTGTTTAACGGTCTAGCCCCACAACTGAGTGTTTGCACGTTTTCTGCAACCACCTCCAAACACATTTAAACGTATTTCACAACAAATCTCTGTATTCATTTGACAGGGCTTGTAATTAAGACAGTTGCGAGCCAGATCTGATAATCTGATTGCCGCTGCCGCTTCCTGGGTTTGCCCCTATCAGACCCCAGCAACTGGAACCCGCACTTCCTCCGCTTTGGATGGAGGATGCCGAAATCAAAGTGGCACTAATTAGCTGCAGATAGGACGGGCGCTATCCTGCACTAGTCACGCTTTGCCGAGCGATACGCAATATGACACGCAACAGTTTGGTCGGTTGTCATTTCCCGGCGTTACCAAAGCGGCACTGAAAATCAAGTGGAGTCATGCTGTTTGCGTCTCATCACCGCGTCAACACACTTCAGTCTCACGCGCTAAAAATAGTCGAGGCACCAGAGCGTTTCCTGTTTTGTGTTGAAAGCCGCGGCCTTTGTTTTACGGTCGCGACGCTCACACCTTGTCAGCGCACCTGTGGATATTCCGAGGTCACGTTCGATGCGACTATGTCGATGGGAACATTGACATGCTTTCGAGATGATTTCCAAAAAAAAAAAAAAAAAAAAGTGGAGAGTTGTTGATGAAAGCAGAGGGTTAAAAAAAAAATCAGGAATCTTTTCTTTCTTGTGTTCCATTAGTTTGCACAAGCACAACTGTATCCAAGAGAACTCTGGGAGATATTAGTCAGATATATTTTGTCTTAAATGTACAGTGTGTGTGTGTTTTCATATGTGTGTTACCTAAGTTATTTGATTTTTGTGGATAATGTAATATTTGTCAAACAATCGAGACTGTCCTCAGTAAAATTAGCCTTGAATGACATGAAATAACCACATCGATTTTGTCACAAGTTAGCTGCCGCCTGGTTGCAAAATACTCCGAAATTAAGCTATGCGCGTTGCGGGATTACTTTCACTTCAAGGTTGAGCTCTTTTACGGAATAGGATGGCTTCACCTCACAAAAGTGGTTGCTTGAACATTGACGACAAGAGTGTACATTTCATGTTTGACAGTTTCACTTCTGTTGAGTGACTTTCACTTTGCGCACACACACACACACACACACACACACACACACACACACGCACACAGACACACACACACAGACACACACGTTCAAATTGGATCCAGCCATCATCCATCGTATGTCCGCCACTATTCTTCCTACTGTGACAAAAGTACAAATGGTGTCAATGAAAAGCGTCTGCTCGCTTCCTTCCCGTGTACGCTTAATGTAAAGTTTTGTCCATGAAGTATTTAAGATATGAATATTTTTATTTTCCTACTTTTTCATTTTCAGCGTGTACATAGAAATATGAAATGGTGAAACCAAGATTGTTTATGTGACGCACGTTTGTCGTTGAACGTGTTGCCCTCCTGATAACGGGAACATACTGTATGTTATTTATGTATATAGTGCCTCTCTGAAAGCTGAGTTAATAAATGTCAAATCTGCTGTTGAGAAACGCTGCCGAGGGTTTGATTGTGTCGCCGTAGCGCCACGCGCACTCCTGAGGGATGCCGCGGCCAATCGCTGTCTTGCTACACCTGCCCGGTGATTCCGTGAAGTGAACGAGATCGCCAATCGCAGCACAGGCGTTCCAAATCAGACGGACACATCATTTCCTAAATCCATCCCGAGACGAGCGCTAAGTCTGTTTTATGAAGTGGTTGTGTCCAAAAAAAAAAAAAAAAAAACGCGCAAGACGGCGATAGGTTGTAGAAGATGCCTGCAGATGACTGCACCGAACCAGACTTTGACTCCTAATTTTCATGACACAGCATTCGGATGCGATCAAATAACTAAAGAGTCGGAGCATTTAAGGTTTGGACACCACATGTGTCAAGTGATGCAGCCAGATGGATGTAGCCGACTAAATATAAGGAGTTCAAATGCTAAGAGAGACAAATTTCGAGCTGGGCCTACGAGCAATTTGCCTGTCACGGTGTTGTTCGATGTTGCCTTTCTTAACCCTGCAAAACCAAACAAATCCCATGTAAGACTTCACAAAAATAAATGTTTTGTTCCAGAAAGCGACAAGTGCCTTACTGCCGGTAGTGTCATATCCTTAAAAGCCAACTACGGGCCCATCGGCATTTTTTGTCTCCATGTACTCGTCACGCACGTCCTCAAACACACCAATTGGTTCTTGTCAACTTGCTGCCAATGTACTTGTCGTTGTTCTTGAAAGTGAATCGAAGTGAAATAAATAGACATAAAATCCAATCCAACCTAAATCATCTCAAAATAACCACAATCACTTTAATCATGGAACATGGACCAACGTTGTATGACTTTTTGTGTGTGTGTGTGTGTGTGTGTGTTGTTGGGGGCCTAGATAGCATTTGGTCCAATGTCAACTCTGGTACTAGTTGCTGCTTGCGTGCAGAGAGGAATCCTGTTGAGCGTCCCTGACTCATTTATATCTTCTGCGCCTCGAGGGAAGCAATGAAGTCACTGAATCAAGTGTACGAATTCTCCAGATACACTTTCAAAGCAAACAGTTATAAAAAAAAAAAAAAAAAACTATTTTTCGAGTCAGGCGATTCTATTCTTATCCAAACATACTGTGGAGAGTCAGGGAAGGAGAAAAAAAGCTCCCCTTTTCCCGCACCTCCGCTCCCGGCTCATCTCTTCAGCACCATCTGTACATCGAGTGTAGCATGCGTCGTGCATCTTTCAGTGTAATGAAAGTTTGATAGAAGCGAACACGGTCCTCATCTCATCTTGCTGAATAGTTTATGCGAGGATGAAGGTGTGGTGACAATCCTGTGCCTGATTGTTTTTACAAGAATGCGTGTTTCCTTTGATGGGCATGTGATTTTAAACGAATAAGCGGATGCGTGATACATCGAAAACTAAAGTGGGGGTACGCACAAACCGATAATTGTGTCAAATCCGAGCATTTTCCGTCAATTGCAATGGAAGTCAGCAAGGAAGCTATACTTGGATGTCTCTAAAAGTTTATCTTGTGGTGTACAGTGTGTTAAGAAAGGTTGTTTTTCCTCCCCGATCTGCGAACTAGCTAAGCTAACGGTTAGTCCAGCTGTTAGCTTGTGGTATATTAACAGATAAGCTAACGGTTAGCCTAACTGTTAGCTGTAGTATGGTAACAGATCAGCTAACAGTTAACCTCAGAATCATCTTTATTGGCCAAGTATGTAGAACACACGAGGAATTTGTCTGAAATAAGTCACAAGTGTAGATATCTAGTATCACCTCTCGGTTTCCCTGTTGTTCAATCACCACATTTACATCCTGAATGGATTAGGGGGGAAATACTTGAAGTTTTCTTTTCGAAAAAGTAATCGTTAATCCTCACGAGAATAGCTGTTGCCCGTCACTGATAAAGCACCAGGTCTGGGCTTGCGTGTTGAGTTTATTTGAGCAGTGGCTCCCAAAGAGACGATTGACTTGAGCTGTAACAACATTATGGCGGTGAATGAAATTTTCCTCATGTTTATAATCTCTTGGCATGAACTCGCAAGTCTGGAAAACTGTCAGAAATGTTCTTATGCCTCGCCGTGCAGGAAATATGTGACATATGGACCTTTAGGTATATATTAAAAAGAACCCAAAAAAAATGCAAACAGGTTTGAACCTATCATACAAAAATGTCAGCAAGTAGATTCATTAATTGCAACATTAATAATTTGATCACGCTATTTTTTTTTCATCGTTGTGTGGTTGTTTTAAATACACTGTGTAATTGCTTTTTGTGTGTGTGTGTGTGTGTGTGTGTGTGTGTGTGTGTGTGTGTGTGTGTGTGTGTGTGTGTGTAGCCAGAAACTTTACCTTGAAGCCCCTTTTGCAAGGAATTGTTCACTATCTGCCAAGTTGCTGCTTGTTCTGAAGTGAGTTGAACCAAGTTCAACGCCACCATACAGCGCGAATGTCAAAATGTTTTCGAGCAAATCAAAGCAAAAAATGATCCAAACAAACAGTTTCTATTTGGTAAAAACTCACAAGTCAGGCCCCGAGTA